AAAAAAGGAAGACCCCCAAAGAGATGGATTGGCACAGTGGCAGCAACCATGGGCTCAAGTATAGCAACAATTGTGAGATTGACTCAGGACAGGGCAGTGTTTCATTCTGTTTGGCTTAGGGTGACTATAAGTCAGAACCAACTCTACTATAGCACCTAACAACAACAGTATATATGGCAAATATCAATCTGTTGCATTATAGTCTTCTAACGTCTCACCTTTTATTTTTTCTTTTCCAGTTATAGAGGACATTTTAAATCTAAACACATTTTCAAGGTGGGACTGAGAAAGGGCAACCTTTATATATCACTGTAAAAGAATAATTTACTTTCCAAATGCAGGGAACCAGATAGCTGTGTAGGCCTGCTTGCATCAGAATTTCAGACTGACTTCTGCTAATTTAAGGAGGATACAAGGAAATTATTTTCTACTACAGAACAGGAGAAAAATCATATTAAAATAGAAACATGAAACCACTTTCCAATTTTAAGCATTATTTTTATAATCAATGTTTGTTTTCTTTCATTAGCATTTATCTTTTGTTGTTGTTGTTAAGTGCCATCCAGTCAGTTCGGACTCATAGCTACCCTGTATAGGGTTTCAAAGGTAAAAGAGTGGCTAGAAAGTTTGAACAGCCAGTTGCAGTTATCAGTCCAGTGCTTACCCTATAGCATCATGCCATGGTTCCATATATATTGTTGTTGTTGTTAAGTGCTGTCCAATCAGTTCTGACTCACAGTGACCCTGTATAGGGTTTTTGAGGAGCAGCTGATGGGTCTGAACCACCGACCTTATGGTTCAGACTGATCTTGTGGTCCATTGTTTATCTTACAGTGCCAAACCAGGACTCCTCCATTTATATGAGAGCACTTACATTTTTATATAACTATGTAGAGTCGTGTCCATTTGAAAAATAATACTTCATGAAATAATTATGGGGGACCTGGTAGCATAGTGGATTACTAGCTGGGCTGCTAACCACAAGGTCAACAGTTCAAATCTACCAGATTTCATGGGAGAAAGATTAGGCTTTCTATTCCCATAAAGATTTACAGCCTTGGAAACCCTGTATAGAGTTGATATGAGTCATAATAGACTCAATAGCACATAACCACCAGCCACCACCACCATAATTATAATATTTTTAAATGAATGGTTTGCAATGAGAATTTGTCCAACTCTTTCTTGTGTAAAATTTCTCTAAAGGAAGATAAACTTCTACTTATAAGCCCATATTTGAAGACTTTAAATGAATTCATTCAAATTTAAATATGAGTAGTATCATTTAGATGTATTAATATTATTTAGATCATTAATATTGTTTATGCATATTTGGGCTCAGTGGTTCACTACCAGCATGCATATGTCTTCCCTTTTCAGATATGGTCCTTGACCAACAAGTGAGCTCAGGTCAACTCAATGAAGATGTACGCCACAGAGTCCATGAGGCATTGATGAAACAACATCACCATCAGAACCAGAAAAAACTCACCAACAGGATCCCCATTGTTCGTTCATTTGCTGATATTGGCAAAAAACAGTCAGAACCAAATTCCATGGATAAAAATGGTAAATGTTACTTTACTGTGCTCTTTATGTCTGTTATTTGTCACTAAAATAAATGCTTCTATATGTCCTTTAAAACATTCATTATTTGACATGATTTATAAACATTCATATTTTATAGTAGAATTGTTTATCTTTATATGTACATATAGCATAATGTTTGAACATCAAATTATAGAAATTTTAGCAATGAACTTAAGTTTCCTGGAAGACTCATGAATGAATACCAAAAGAACTTACAACTATTAAGAACTTAGATATTCAAATTCAGCAAACATAACTGATCATCCATTGCATCTAAATCAAGGTCCTAATATCTTTTCAATAGTTTGAGAAAGCAATGCAATGATTTGATTTATGTCATTGTTCATACTTTGAGGATTGTCGTTTAGTTTTTGTATGGAATAGATATTGGTTTCTTGGTGTTCATAGTCAGATAATTTCATTAGAAATAATTACTGAAAGACAAGTCAGGACATTTCTTGTGGTCTTTCATATATGAGGGAGCTGCAAAAAGTTCTTGGTAAATGGAATCTTTTCATTCCATTTTTCCACTAACTTCTTGAAGTCCCCTTGTATTAAGCCTAATTTGCAGTGTATGGATTCATTGATTTTTACAGTGTGGCATCTTAAGCATCCCGAAGCTCTCCCACTCACCATCTTCACATACCAAGGTAGATGACCATTATTGTTTTCTAGCAGCCATGAATACTTCCTATAGTTAGTGCTCAGATTGTATTATCGTATCTGTATTTTTCATTCTTTCCTTTTATCCATTTGAATCTTCACAATTCACTTGAAGACAGTTGCCTAGAAATATGTCACCATCCATCCTTTTATTTAGTCCTGCTCAGAAAAATGAAGTTAACCTTAAGGATGATATGAATTTGTTAAACTTCTACTCAGTTCAAAAAGATAAAAATGAGTGGAAAGTCTTTAACATTATTTTACTAGACAGGTCTGATTTTTCACCATTGGCCTAAAGCACTTGTATTGAGAGCTCAGGATATCATGTATCATTTTACTTCGATTTTCAAAAGCTTCAGAAATGCCTTAAAAACAAATGTGTGAAAATGAATTTGCTACAGACTTTGCTTCATTGAGGAATTTTTACCAGTTTTCAGACTACCTAACCAACTATTGTTAAGTGTCACTGAGTAAGTACTGACTCATAGCGACCCTCTGTAGGATTTCTTAGGAGCAGTTCCTGGGTTTGAACTGTTTACCTTGCATATCTAAGTTAACTGTCCAATGCATATCTAAGTGCAGGTGTGAGGAATGCCCAAGGCCCTCAAAATCATTTGGTCTGGTCCTGCCAAAGCATCCGCAGTTCCAGCCATCACATTGTTGTTGTTGTTAGGTGCCGTCGAGTCAGTTCTGACTGATAGTGACCCTGTATAAGGTTTCTGAGGAGCATCTGGTGGATTTGAACTGCTGATCTTGTGTTTCCCACTTCAGTGCTGATCTTACAGTGCCACACATTAGGGGTGAGCTAATTGAATGTTTGGCCAAATATATCAGGCTAATTTTTAATTTGATAAATTTGTATGGCCACAAATGATAATCAATTTTGGCTGAAAAATGTTCCTCACTCCTGTCTTAGTGTCACACTAGGATTCCAATACCCTCAACTAATACACACAAGCATATAAACTAATTCCTTGAATAATTTGTTAGGTGCCATCAAGTTGGTTCCAACTCATAGCAACCTTATGAACAGCAGAACAAAGCACTGTCAGGTCCTGTGCCGACCTCACAATCATTGCTAAGCCTGAGCCCATTTTTGCTACCACTGTGCCAATAGCTTTAATAACTTTAATAGCTAGGTAAAGATAATTAAGCATACTTCTACTCAGAATATAGAACAAATTCTTAATGGAGGAAAAAAGATTTATGAAATGCTAATTTGATTTTTAAAGACCTTGCAATGTCTAGCTCTAAACCACTTTTGTTGTATAGAAAAGGCTTTGCTGCTTTCAATTGTTGTGGAATCAGTTCCTACTCATAGTGAGCCTGTATATGGTTTCCGAGGAGTGACTGGTTAGCTTGAACCGCCGACCTTGTGGTTCCAGCCAATTTTGCAGTCAAGTGCATTAACCCACAGCGCCACACCAGGGTACCTTCAGTTGTTCATATATATATGGTTTACTGAAAGTGTTACAAGTATTAATTTCTATTTGTAGATCTTGTTGAACATTTTGAGGATGTCTAACTTGCTTTGAATTATATCATATTTTAAAAATATATTCATATTCAAATTATAGCTTGCTTTCAAAGTATGATGCATAAATTTGACAACTTGAAGCTTCTATATTCTGACAGCCATCATAATGCAGTGCTTTTTTTATATTTACAATATCAGCATTTAATTATTTGATTATGATGATGTTAAGATAACAGACAGATATTTACTCATTTTTGATGATGGACTTATGAGTACAAGAATCCAAAACTTATTAAAATATACTATTAAAGTAATTCTTTATTATTGCAAGCACATTTCTAAATGTTTGCTATTTCATCACTTTTGCTGGAAATAGAAATCAAAATATTTGCATAAATATATGTCTGTGAAAGGATATATGTTTATTCAGAGGCTTGGATTGAGAATTAGTTATCACTTATACCTCAGATTTCATTGGGATACTGTTTGCTAAACAAATAATTTTACGGTATCTTGTTTTTTGAAGGGATGCTGGTGCTATTTTGCTTAAACATTTGTTGTAATTTCATGTAGTTCTATACATTGTTTCTTGCTGCTATAAACTTCTGCTAAAGATAAGAAGTTCCTGGAGTCCTGGTGTGGTGCTATGGGTTAAAGCACTGGACTAAAAGGTTAGTTTGAACCACAAGGTCGGTGGTTCAAGTGCAACAGCCCTCCTCAGAAATGCTATGTAAGTAAGGTCGCTCTGAGTTGGAACCAACTCGATGGCATTTAACAACAATAACAAACATAAGATGAAATGATAGAAGTATAGCTATGAATCATAAACCTACATAAATATTCCTCATATAAATACAAGGTCTTCTGAGAGTCTATTTGTCTTGTTCAGGCAACTGCTTAATTTTTCTGAAAACTAGATTCTGAGTGATCTGTCACCATCTGTACAATCAGCTTTTATCTGAACACACATATATCTTGGAGGCATACGTTATAGTAATAAAAACTTGGAAACATTTCTAATAAGATTCATATATCCAATTAAGTATTGTTGTATAGTATGCTGTCAAAAATGGTGTTCTAAGCCCAGACTTACAACACCTCCTTGTGACTCTGTTTTGCTTTCTCACGCGCTTTACATAATTATGTGTGTTGAGAATTCTGAAAATATGTATAGATTTTTACCAATTTAGAAATAAATCTACTCAGAAGTGAAAAAAGTGTGAAGGACCTTTATAACTAAGGTTCTCAATCTACTTATAAGCTTTAAAATCTGACAAACTCTAGGTAAACAAACAAATCAAAATTCATAGCCATTTATGTAGATTTGACATTCTATTTTAAAATATGCAATAGAAATATAAATTTTGCGTGCAGTACTACAGAGAGATCCAAAAGTGTTTAAAAACACCTAAAAGAGTATAAATAGTATTCTTAGTATTAAAAATATATATCTTCAACAGAGTATTTTATGCAAAATGATAGACTTTTCTTTAAGATTATAAAACAAAGGATTAAATAGGGTGAAGATTTTCTAAAAAAAAAAAAGAAAACAGAATACATTTTCTTTCCTAAGCATAGGATAATTAATTTCCTCCTCTTGTTTAATGTACTTGTACTTTGGAAGCAAAACAATTGAAATTCCCTTAAAAATGTGTTGGTGCTTATGAAGAATTCTAAGAGTCATATATAATATGTCTACTTCTTTAATTCATTTGAGCATTCTACCTTTGCAACTCCCCAAGGATTAAACATTCAGATACTGTATAAGTATTTCAAGTGTGGCTCTTGCTTATTTTATAGTTTAGATTAACAAAGTAGTATATTTATTTGCTTCTTTTCTCCCTAAGTCCACATTTTTTTGTTTATACCGTTTTTGTGATTTGTGATAATTTGTCAATCTCACCTCTGAATACACTTACTTTACTTGTATAATTTTTTTCCCCCCTTGGTGTTCTGCACATTCTCTTCAGAGCTAAGATGCAGGATGCTATGGATTCACCATGCATTTTTAATGCCACCAGGCTGTGTTTAACTTTCACTTTTCATTAAGCATCAAAACTGTGAGAATTAAATGCCTGATTCTGATGTTTCAATAAAAAGTGACAGTTACATTTGGCAAAACAACACAAAAATAATAGAAAAATAATATCTACTTTGACATTAGGACTCTGAAAATGATATGAGCGGAAAGCATTCAAATAAATACCTCAAGAATGTTCAAGTGGTTCCTTTGAAATATTGTCGAAAAATTAAAAACAAGTCTTTTATGTTAAATAATCTAGAAAGCAAAATAAACCAGTATATGTAATTGTCATTTTAGTCATGCATTCAGTTGTATATTCAACATTAGGATTAGGAATCTAGTATCAAATATAGTTACCTTTGTGATAATATTTGTCTTTAAAAATAATTTAGGGCTCTGAATTTCCTTGGGCACAGGGTGCCATCACTTCAATCTGATCTTCTTTACTAATGATTTCTAACTTTGTTCCTTTGTCTCCACATAGCTTTTCTCCCTCTTAATCTGAATACTTCCCAGGTGAACTTTTATTCACTATTTTAAAAGAAGTTACTGAGAAGACAGTGTCGAACTCATTCAAAGTCTTAAGTTACTGGAAAACATTTAGATTTGGAGGGATGGAATATAAGCTGACTTTTGAGGTCTGGGCAAATTCTAGTCCTTAAACCAATGTATACATATTATGAATGATTTTTATTTCTAAATTGTGGAAAACAATCATGTTATTTCATAACCTCTTCTTTTACAAATGCTATACTTTTTTATTTTCAGATGGATGATTTTTCTTGTGTGTTCAGATATTTATACATGATCTTGTTT